CCGTCGCCGCAGCTCATCACCGCCGCAGCCACCACCTCCCACTCGCCCTCTCTCCATGTCTGCGAGCTCCGCCACCTCGCCCTGAAGCTCTCCGTCGAGCCACGCACCTCGGGAGGCCCTGGAGCGCCTCCATCGCCGCCGTCTTCATCTCCGGCCGCCGTGGATCCCCATCGCCGCCCCGCCGTCTCCAGTGCATCCCCGAGCTCGCCGTCAAGCCTACTGAGACCGCTTTGAGCTGCTGCTCCTCCTCCCCCTCTCCGTTTGCTCGCTTGCATGCCGTAGTCGCTGCCTCACCGATGACCGTGACGTCGCCGCCTGAGCTCGTCGTTGACGCAGCTCCGGTGAAGAAATGGTCGTCCCGGCGAGTCCAAACCTCTCCCCGCACCCCGTAGAGCCTCGCTAGTGCATCCGCTCGTCCGCTAGCACGCCGCCGCATTCAGACCACCGACAGCCGAACTCCGGCGGCCGCAAAAGAGATCGCCGCCGTCGGCTCAGGCCACCCCAGCTCCTTCCGTTCGCTCCATTAGATGCGCCGCATAACCAGCTAGCCATAGCAGCAAACCACGAGTAAAATTGTGCCCTGTGGGCGTTTTCCGAGCCGCGCCGCCGTCTCGGGGCTCGCCAGCGTCAAGCCGCCGGTGGGTTTGACCCCGCTGACCGTTGACTGGGTGGGCCCAGTTTGACCTCCCCCTTGTGTCACTGACGAGCGGGCCACCCCCCTGACATTTAGTTAGTATTAGTTTAACACTAATTAACCTAGGTTAGTTAGCTAGTTAGTCGCTGACCAGTGGGCCCGGCGCCCACAAATCCTTTAATTAGATTAGTTTAATAACCCCCTGTTAACTAACCGGTCACTGACGTGTGGACCCCACATGTCAGGTTTGACTTGGTCAGCGCTGTTGACTTGCTGACGCAAGCATGACGCTGTGCTGACGCAATATATCATTTTCTGGTATTAAAATAAATCAACCGGTCACTTACGTGTGGACCCCACACGTCAGGTTTGACTTGGTCAGCGCTGTTGACTTGCTGACGCAAGCATGACGCTGTGCTGACGCAATATATCATTTTCTGGTATTAAAATAAATCAGGAAATTCCAGAAATTGCTATAAACTTCAAAAATTCGTAGAAATTCAACCGTAGCTCAGATTGAAATAATTTATATATGAAAAATGATCAGAAAAATCCAATCTATCCATCTGTACCATTTTCATGCATGACAAACCAATCTATACATACTGTATAAGTGAAACACTAAAATGGCTTATATAAAGAGCTTATTTTGGTGATGCATTTGAATCTTGGTTCAAATGGACTTCATGCAAATGAATGCTAGATGCATTAACTCAAACAAACATCATATAATCATGCCATGATCATGCATCATATTGCTGCATATGCTTGTGTTTGATTGTCGACATCGTTCCTTCTCGATAGGTCCTGCTCCGGAGACCGATCCAGAGTACCTGTTAGAGGAGCAGTGCCCCCTGTTGATCTACCAGGCAAGCAAACCCCCTTGTTCATTCCGATACAATCCTACTCTCTCGCTCCTGCTCTCATTTATTGCATTAGGACAACAATGATTCAACTGCTACTTTACGCTGCGGTAGTTGAACCCATTCCTCTGCATGACCTGTCATTGCCACTGTAAATAGTTAAAACCCACTAGCATGTGTAGGAGTTGATTGAGCCATGTTGTGTTCTTGCCATGCCATGCCTGCTATTGCTTAGAGTTGTGTCAGGTCTGATTCATCGGGAATGAATTGGAGTGGTAGAATATGTTCTGGTGCTGAGAGTTAAGCGTGTGAACACGATTTGGTAAAGGTAGCGGTGAGAGGCCATGTAGGAGTACATGGTGGGTTGTCTCGCTGGAACCGTCCTTAAGAACTGAGTTCTATGTAAGTTGTCCAATGACTAGTTGCTACCACACACTAGGCTCCGGGCGCTCCAAGCTCTCTCAACTTATTAGCCAACTTGATCTTTGTCCAGGAGTTGCAAATAGTTTCTGGTGTTTGTAGGTAGTGTTAGTAGTCTACCAAGTGGCACCCGGCCAGGTGGGCTTGGGACAGACTAGGCACAGTGGCACGGTGTACCAAGTGGCACCCGGATGCTAGGCTTGGGAACCCTGCTCATATCGTTTGGGGCCATGAGTGACCCCCGTGCCGGATCTCCTTGCGGATGGAACCCGAATAGGCGATAAACCTGGACTAGAGTCTTGTGTGGTTAGTCAGGTCGTGGTCGACACCCTCGCCAGGCTTCCGCTTAAAGGATGCCAAGATACATGACGTGTACATGGCGATAAGTGGTCAGAGCGTGTGTGAAGAAGTACACCCCTGCAGGGTTATCATGATCTATTCGAATAGCCGTGTCCTCGGTTATGGACTTCTTGGATGCTTACGTGGTACATAGACAACTTAAAGTGGATACTCTAAAATTCTCAAGACAAGTGTGAGTGCTATGGATGGCCTTCTCGTAAGGAGACGAGGATGAATCCATAGTAGTGTATTGATGTGGTGATTAGTGGACTCGTGTGCGCTGCCTCATCTCAAAGAAGTTTCTCGTTGTCGTAGAACAGGATAGCCACTGAGTCAAAGCTGGCTTGCTGCAACTAAACCCCACATTACCTTCTTGATTCAAATGCATGTATGATAGGATCTGATGTATGTCTTGCTGAGTACCTTTGTACTCACGTTTTCTTTATTTATGTTTTGCAGGTGAGACATCTGTCTCACTAGTAGTACCGCTTGGACTTCGAAGAGTAGCTTGTTACCTCAGCTACGATCTCGTACCTTGGGAGGGACTTGTAGATAGTCAGACTTCTCATCCTTTTTCCTTTTGTAGTTGTCTGTACTCAGACATGTAATGCTTCCGTTGTTTGTATGCTCTGAATGATGGGTCATGTGACCCCTGTTTGTATTTAATGTTGTGTGGCTCTTCTGGGCCTTTATCTATATGAGTTTGCATTATGTTGTGATGCCATGTTGTATAGCACATACTTGCATGTTATGCGTACGTGTGACGTGTATTGCTATGTGTGGGATCCGACAATCTAGTTGTTTATCCTTGGCAGCCTCTCTTATGGGGAAATGAAGTCTAGTGCTTCCTTGAGCCATAGTAGTCCGCTACAGCCCGGTTCACCGGAGTCCTGCTAGCCCAGCACTACTGCTTAGGATGCTTGACTGGCCGGCATGTGTTTCACTTCATTCCTGTGTCTGTCCCTTCGGGGAAATGTCACGTGGTGACATCCGGAGTCCTGCCTAGCCTGCTACAGCCCGGGTTCACGGAGTCCTGTTAGCCCAGTGCTACAACCCGGATTCACAAGCTGCTGACCGACATGCTCGATGTGAATCAGGTATGCCTGTCCCCATAGGTTATTGCCTCTTTGGGTTCACGACTAGCCATGTCGGCCCGGGTTCTCTGTCATATGGATGCTAGCGATACAATCATATACGTGAGCCAAAAGGCGCAAACGGTCCCGGGCCAGGGTAAGTCGACACCCGTGGGGATACTGTGCGTGGGGCCGCAAAGTGATATGAGGTGTTACCGGCTAGATCGATGTGACTTGGAATCGGGGTCCCGACAGCTTTGGTATCAGAGCCTGACTGCCTGTAGGATTTCCAAGCCAACCTGGTCGAAGTTGAGTCTAGAAATTCTTTAGTTATATAAGGGAATTGATTGTGGAGGGGAACGTAAGGCTCTTTTACTCCTTATACCTCATGCCCTTCTGATCTGAGTCATCCTATCATTCCTACGGGGTTAAGGAACTAGGCGTCCTCTTCTGTCTTTCAGGATCACGTGTTACTACTCCGTAGTTTCTAAGGTTTGGTTGATCTAAGTCTTATCCCAGTTCGAGTACCTCCGGTGTAGCCTGTTTAGTAATATCTCAGAACCTTGGGGGATGATGTTAAGTTTGGTGTTACCCCATTTTTTGCAGAATGTCTCATTTTGAGCATTTCACTGCCGTTATGCTGCCGGATTTTTCCTAAGAGTTTGGGAGATACTAAATTCTTGTTCTACCTTCTACATCCGTATGATGATGCTGAATCCATCTTTGTTTTCCTTGGTTTCGTTCTTCAGGATGTTGCCGGTTAACCGAAGTTCTGTTGCTCGTAGTCAGAACCACGGAGATGGTAGGGATGGGGATCCTCCAGACCAGTCTTCGTTGGTAGAGTTCATGGTAGAGATGGAGAGGAACAAGCGTGAGTCTAACCGCTTGTTAGCACGTATTGAGGAGAACACCTCCCATCAGCACAAAGAGTCAGCGACCATCTATGATTTCATTGGTCTGAAACCACCTACCTTCCATCATTCCCTCGAACCACTCAATGCAGATGACTGGCTTCGT